ATATAATTATAGTTTTATTTAGCTTATTTGCAGGTTCATCTTCTACCTTTCTCTTTGAAAGACATTGATGAATGTAATGCAGTCTTCTTTGAATTTATTTGATAATTTGGACCATTTTGTTTAGTTTATCATTCTCTAACTATCTCATGCACGCCACACCAAATGCACTTGGGCTGTACTTATTTATTACCTTCAAAAGACTTCGTTTGGACTTTTGTAAAATAAATTTATATATTAGTATAGATTATATAGTATTGAGTTATTGACTTTGACTATTGAATTGATCACAAATTCAAAAGTAACCTAAGTGGCTGGGTAAATCAAGCCGCACAGAAGACATAATTATTTTTGACGATTTTGAAATTTGGGTCCATCTACGTGCCAATCTTTTTCATAGAAGCCATGTTTATTTATTTATCATCTGGTTATGCCTGATTTGTATATGTAATATTTGGAGCAACACATCTGTGAAATTTCACATCGTAGATCATGTCTGTATGGAGAAATAGAAAAGTAATCAATTAAAAGATAGCACATATTTCTATCACGAATCTTTCTTCAACAAAAGAAACAATATTTTTGAGACATAAATCAATTAGAAAATCACGTTTTCCAATTCTCTTAACCATATAAACAGCATTAAAAAATGAAGCCGATCTTTTTGGATTCTCTACCATTTTTGAGCATATAAAAGAGGGAATCACGAGATTATACTAACGGGGAGTACACGCAAATTATACTGTGGGATCGGCCTACCGTGAGGACGGTGTGCTGATCCCAAAACGGCATCGCTTTTAGTAAATATAGATCGATAGATCTTCCCCTGCTTCTTAGTTCTTTCTTGAATACCGGACCTTTCGCTCGTTTCAGCCACGGCCATTGATTCTACCTTAAACTTCAACGGAATGGAATGGGCGCAATTATAAGATCGAGTGTGGACTGTGGAGCTACGTCTTCGTTATCATTTTTACATGGCTCTTTAATCTCTGCTCTTTCAACCACTCCCGCATGGCCGCATAACCCAGGAAAAGGCTTCAAAAAAGAATTAATCAAATTGTAATAAAAATTTCTCTATTCTTTTGATGTTAATGATGGAGTTAATTGGTATATATATGTGTGTTTAATATGATCAAAAAAAAAATATGTGTGTTTAATACTTGGAGTTACATCTTTTTATACTTCATTTACATCTTTTTGTGTGCAAGTTACATCCTTATGTGCATGAGTTACATGTTTTTTACAAGCGAGTTACATCTTTTGAAGCGCGAGTCACGTCAAAAAATCAACCCCTGGTATTGAAGCAAAAAATATGATTTTTTTTTTAAAATTCTTTCGATGGTCGTGATATTAAAAACAAAACATATTCACGATTTATGTAAAGTAATTGTGCAATTAGACTCTTTTTTTAATTATTTACATTGAAATCAATGTTTTATTTCTTATAATATGTATTTGACAAGTTACATTTCGAATGGACTTGAGTTACATTGATCAATAATGTGAGTTACATATCTTTACACGCGAGTTACATCATCCATGCTACTGGGTTAAAAAGAAAAAAGTTATTGCTCACGTACGCGTTACTGTTCACGCGATTTTTTATTAAAAAAATGTGCAAATTAAAACTACGTAGTTTCAGATGTGGAGCACGGTGGTCACCGTGGGATCATCCCACGGTATAAGAACTGGGGAGTACAATACTCAAAATTAGGACGTATCCATCAATGAGGTTATTTAGAGATCAAATTAAGTGGATGATTGATTAATTTTGAGAGAATGTGGTTTGATGAAACACATTATTTCATGAAGATAACGGGGACCAAAATATGAATTCATATTATTTATAGATTATTTGTATGATCGTAAAATATAATCATAAAAGATTATTATTCAAAAATGACATTTGAAGATAATTTTAAAAGGAAAAAATATTTCAAATATCTCAAACTTTGAACTGAGGTGAGATAAATACCCCAAACTTACATATGTAGTTTAAGTAACTCAAACCTTACATGAAAAGGGGTTTTAGCACCATGATCATATATTGTTTCTTTCAAAAATGTAAATTTATTGTGTTAATTGCATAATAAGTAAAATATTTAGCATTCGTGAAAAATAATTAACATTCTTAACTTCCATTATGAAATAACTAGTATAATCGCATGCATGTCTATATAATTACAACACTTTATAATTGAAGTAAATAATATTTTAAATCATGCAATTAACACCCGAAACTTACATTTTTGAAAGAAAACAATATATGGCCATGGTGCTAAAAAATTGTGTAAAGTTTGAGGAATTTAAATTACATGTGCAAGTTTAGAATGTTTAATTCACACCCTTTTAAAGTTTGAAGTATTTGATTTTTTTGGGGGGGAATATATTTGAATTATTTTCTCTTTTGTATAATAAGAAAAAGAGAAGGAGTTTGTCCTCAAATAATACTAATTAAAAGCATTTGGACAAAAAAGAGACTTTTCTTTTAAGTTCCAAAAATAAGACTAAATAATACTTAAGGGACTGTTACACCCTTACTAAGTCGAAACCCACTGGCCTGCTACAGTAACCCGTCACAGTGACCAAATGTGCAATGACCAATGTTACAGTTACCAATGACATAGTTACAAAATACATCCAGTGACCAAAAATTAATACGTCCCACCAATGACCCGCATCACAGTGACCAAATGTGCAGTGACTTTTGTCCAGTGACCAATTGACAAAGTGACATCCGCGCGGTAATCAATTTTTATAGTGATTCCCTTGCAGTGACCAATTCATATAGTGACTCCTACCCAGTGACTAACACCCGCCTGTCCAATGATCAACGTCCGCCCATCCAGTGGCTAACACCCGCCCATTCAGTGATCAAACCCGTCTGTCCAGTGACCAACGTCCATCATAGCTTGATCAACGTCCACCAGAGTTCAGTGAACAACACTGCCCTAGCTAGTGACCACCGCCTGCCATACCCAATTAGCCCTGCCGCCAACCGGAAGCAGCCACCGACGACGGTCACTGCCCCACCCAACTTGATTCCCCAACCGACTCCCTGTCAACCAGCCACCTCCCTAGCAACTAGCCACCTCCCTAGTCCCCTCCCCTTCATCACCCAACCTCCTGCCTCACCCACCTCGTCCCCTGTGTCACCCCAGCCCCAGCCATATGCCTCATCCATCACCTTCCCTTCTGCCTCACCCCATCCAATCCCTCCCCCGCCGCCACAATTTCTGCACCTCTTCTCCCGCCGCCGGCCTTCTAGCCTCGCCGCCACCCATTACAAATAGACCATAGCCATAACCCTAACTGGATAGATCAGATCTGAAGTGCAGACGACGCAACGAAGCCAAAGCCACCTTGTACAATCATCCACAAATCGTACGAACAGAAGAGAAGAAACGTAAGAGAAGATGAAATAGAACGGCGAAGGTGCAGTAGGGTGACAGTGACAGTGAAGGCATGGCCGGGAGAGGTCGACGACTAGGGCGACAGAGACAGGAAGGAGAGGGCGGTGGTGATGATCCTTCTCTTGTCGTTGCTGATGGTGTGGCTGCCGTTGCTCATATCGAAGGAGAGAAGAAGGCAGTACAAGGTCATGGAAATGGTTGAGCGCCGATTTTGTTAGGGTTCAAGGGCATTTGAGTCCATTTATCTCCTTTTAGCCTCTTTTTTGTCCATACGGAATTTACTCTTATTTTTGTCATATAACAGCCCGAGAGGTATATTTTGGTCATTCTTTCAAAAGAGAATTACCTAAATAGGACAAAAAAAGTTCAAGAGTACAAATAAGACTACATCTTTTAAATCCACCAGTATGACTATTTATGTGTGTTTGGACAAATATATCGTTGTAGCTTTTAAAATGTATTAATTAATAATAAAATCATAAAAAATAATTAAAAACGTAGAAAAATAATAATAAACAAATTATAAATATTTTTTTAAATAAAAAATCATTTAAAAAATTAAAATAAAATTAAAAATGTAAAAAAATGCTGCCACCCCCCAGCACCACCAGCTCCTATCATCGGTTGGAAATCTGCAAACATATTTAGTAATGCCATAATAATGACAAATTCAATGAAAATTTTGGCATTATGAAGAGTAATAATACCATTTTCTCTGTATTTTTCAGGGAAAATGATTTTTTTTACAAAAAATAGCAGAATTTTCACCGACCGGAGGTGGCGGTGCTGGAGGCAGAGGGAAAGGTATCCATTTTTTCAATATTTTTATGGGTTTTTATTATTTTAATTATTTTTTAAAAAATAAAAATTTGATTTTTATTTTATTTTATAAATATTTTATTATTTTTTACGAATTTTTTACTACCTCCGTCCCATTTTATGTGTCTTAGTTTGACTTGGCACGGTTATTAATGAAGTGGTTGAAAAAGTAAAAGTTGTGGTTGAGATTTGAGTATAATAAAGTGAAATGATGTAGACCACATATTTTTTTTCAAAAAAGGAAACGAGACACTTATTTTGGGACAATCCAAAAAGGAAAGTAGGACATATAAAATGGGACGAAGGGAGTAATATTTTTTACTCCGTATGATTTTTTTAAAGATTTTAATTCAATTTATTACTCCCTCCATTCTTTTTTATTAGTCCTTCTTTCCTTTTTGGGACGTTTTTTATCTGTCCTCCTTTCCATTTAAGGAAAGTTTTTACTGTAAATATACCTTTATACCCAACTTTTATTACCATCACCCATTTCTCTTTCATACTTTTTCATTTACTCACTACTCATTACACCTTTTACACTACCCCTACTACTTTCCTCTTAAAACCCGTGCCAAAACCTAAGAGGACTAATATTAAAGAACGTAGGTAGTATGAATTAAAACATTTCATTATGAATTAATACCTTCAGGGGTATTTAAGGTAGAAACAAATGGTTATTCCATTTGAAATTGAGCAATAGTTTTATTTGTGTATTAGGGAGTTTTTAGTGTTACCAACGAGGATTTCTAACAAAAAACGTGGGGTACGTGATAATAATTTAAAAGTGGGATCAATGGACCATACAGCATTAGTCAGTGAGTGAGGGCACGAGGATGCTCTTAAATTTCTGGGTTCTTTATGTGATATATTTTCATGAATCCTGTAAGGTTAAGGTTAACAGTGATGTGTGTGGACAGTATGAGCTAGGATTAACATTCAACAAATCCCAACTTCCCGAGGATACTCTCATTCTCTAGCATCCATTTGCCCAAGTTGTGTTTGACAAATTGAATTAATGAAGCAGCCTTTGCAGTCATGGTCACCTGCAATTTTCTGGCCTTTTCTTTTTCTGGCTGCTTCTTGTTACTGTCTGAGCAATACAACTACAGATCAAGAGAAAGACAAGATATCACATTTGCCGGGGCAGCCGGAAAATGTTGACTTCTTGCAATACTCCGGCTATGTGACAGTGAATGAGCAAGCTGGGAGGGCACTGTTTTACTGGTTAGTCGAGTCTCCAGCAAGCCGGGGCAATCCTGAGGAGAAGCCACTCCTTCTGTGGCTCAATGGAGGGCCAGGATGCTCTTCTGTGGCTTATGGTGCAGCTGAGGAAATTGGTCCTTTCCACATCAATGCTGATGGGAAGTCTCTCTACCTCAATCCTTATTCTTGGAATAATTGTATGTGCTTGTTCTTCTAAATCTTCTATCATATATTCATATTTCCAGTGCCGCCCGGCCTTACAGGAATATTTGAAAAATGAAGGAATTGCAAGGACGGCAAGATGCAATTGTTCCGAAAATAAGATTGGAAGAGAGTTTTTCATTACTTGAAAAAACTTGCAGTCCAAAAGTTTCAAATTTTCAAATGTTAAATACAAATTTGGATGTCTAATCAATCGGTTGGAATCCATCTTTTAGTGGTTTTTCCCATGTTCATTATGATCCAGTTTAGTGCCTAGTCCAATTATGAGTTCAATCCATACATGCATTATTGTCTATGTTTTTGTGACTTCTACTTTTTTAATTAAGCTTTATGCGTTTTGGACAGTGGCAAACCTTCTTTTTCTTGAGTCACCAGCTGGTGTTGGATTCTCATACTCAAATACAACATCTGATTTGTATACAGCTGGGGATCAGAGAACAGGTAGGGTTCATCCTTTTTGTTTCCAATTGATTTTATTTCTTACTCATCTTTTATCTCGATTTTGAGCTCTCTGGTTGTTAAACTGCGCAGCCGAGGATGCATATATATTTCTCGTCAGTTGGCTTGAAAGATTTCCTCAATACAAACATAGAGACTTCTATATCTCTGGAGAAAGTTATGCAGGTTTGTCATTTTATTCTTCGTGACTTTGTCTGTGTTAGAGTCATTCAGATAATAAAGAGAGAAAATAATCAGTTAATAAGAATTTGGGTCAAACAAGTTATTATACTACGTATTGCATACCATCTTTTAGTATTCTTTGGCCAAAGTATCTTATGACCCGGTGGGAGACTAAGGGCCAAAGTATACTTCAAAGCCATGTCTTGGCGCACTTCAGAAAATTAAAAAGAGTAATAATGATAATAATGTCTCAGTAAGACGTTGAGTTGAACAAGCTAATAGATTCAATTCATTTTTTTGTGTGTAATTTGGTCAAAGTGTCTTATAACTAAGTTGATTGACCCCAACCCTAATTCAATCCTGAACCAAGGGCAAGACGTGGTTTCAATTTCAGAACAGGCTCTGACCAGAAATGGCTGGGTTTACAACTAAACCAATGCCAGCTCTTTTGGATCCGGATCAGGACGGGTATCCGGAACCAATCTGAACCAGTTCTAGATCCTCCATATTGGGACCAGAACTGCTTATTCCGTTTTTCTTGACAAATAGGCTAAATACTGGAATTAGAAGTGGTATATGTGGTTAAATTTCGGATTCCATCCTTACCCTTTTTGACGTGATCTTCATCATGGGTCATCCTTCTTTGTGTTTTAGTACAGGGGTAAGGCTGCGTACATCCGACCCCCCTTACCCCACCGTAGGTGGGAGCTTTTGCGGAACTGGGGTAATGTTGTGGTTGTTTTTGTCATTTCAGGGCACTATGTTCCACAACTATCTCAAATTATCTACCGCAGAAACAAGGGAATCAAGAATCCTATTATTAACTTCAAGGGCTTCTTGGTTGGGAATGCCGTCACCGATGATTACCATGACTATGTTGGCACGTTTGAGTATTGGTGGACACATGGTTTGATTTCGGACTCTACGTACAAGTTCCTTCAGATTGCATGTGACTTGGGATCATCTGAGCATCCTTCAAGTGATTGTGTCAAAGCTCTTGATATTGCAGAGGAAGAGCAGGGAAGGATTGACCCCTATAGCATATACACTCCTCCCTGCCCTTATACTACATCCCTTTCTCGCCCCTTAAGGGCCCGTCACGTGAGCACTTGTGCTTATCCTCCTTCCTGAGCATTCCTCTTTTCTCTTTGTGGTCCTCTTTTAAGCTGCAATGTTTTTTCACTCCAAAAGTTCGTTTAGTGATTTAAAAGCGTTATCGCTTGAAACTGAAGTAAAAAATAACTTAGAAGTGATCATATCACAACCCCTAGCTTTGACAAAATTAATACTCCCTCTGCCACATTTTATTACAAAATGACATTTCTATTCCTTTTCATGTTCAACAATAGATGCATCTCATTAACTTTACGGATCAAAAGCATTTAATACACAAAAAGCTAATAAAAGCAAATTTGGGAGGTTAGTACAACTTCTAATCATAGATCACTTTTTAACAGTAACACTAAAATGGGCCTAATATTGGTTATAGTGAGGTGTGGGCATGGTGCAACTGGTGGAGTCTCTTCCCTCGTATCCAGGAGGTTAAAGCTTGATCGCTCAACCAGGACATACGATATTAGGCTACAACTACATTAAAAGATTGAATCCTGTCTATGATGCACGGATGTAGTTTAACTCGAGCTTTTATTATATCATTATTCTCTCTATTGTTTTTGGATGTGAGACTAACAATTACGTAGTACGGAGTAGTATTTAGTATGAGAGTACCTTATGTTTCATTAGTTTTTACATTTCCAACTCAATATATTTATATTTCTTTCCATTTAATGGTAGCCGTGGATATCCCGAGCATATGATCCATGCACAGAGATTTATTCTCAAATTTATTTCAATCTCCCAGAAGTGCAGGAGGCGTTTCATGCCAATATAACTCAAGTTCCCTACAAATGGGAAACATGCAGGTAAATAAATATAGTAGAATATGAAAAACTATATATTCCCTCGCAAGTGGTAAGGATTTGCTGATTGGGAGTTATATACTTTGCAGTGATATAGTTGGTGTTTACTGGGCAGATTCTCCTCTGTCTATGCTTCCTATTTATCAGGAACTCATAGCCGCTGGTCTCAGGATATGGGTTTTTAGGTACCAACTTCTTCAGCGGATTTCACTATTTATATTCATCAAATTTTCTTTCTTTAGAAGGCTGTAAAATTCTCATTATGCTAATTTGCATTAATAAATAGTTTTATCTAAGTTTACAGAATCAGTTGACGCTAGATTTCCTGTCACTGGCCCCAATTAGGGAAGAGTTAATTATGAGTTGATACTTAAAAATTGTATATCTAAGTATCTAACTAATCTTGACATAGTGTTTGACAAAAGTAGCTGATAACTGATAAGATAGCTTCCCAATATAAAATGACGAAGAAAGAATATGTTTAAGATACTTTTGTTTTCAAGAAAGAGGTAAAAAACTGAATTATAAATGAAAAGCTCACGTACTTGTTGAGGCCACGAGAAAAATGATGGAACAAGCTTGAGCATATGCTGCATATCAAAGAAGCCTCAAACCAAAAGATACTTGTTCGAAAAGCTTCCACTAAAAAAGCTAATAGTAATGGAGTAGTATATAAACTAGCCTTTGTCATGCCAAATGCAGCCCAAGTCCTTATGTACTAATACAAGTGTTTATATATCTCAAGTTCTAAACCATTGATCAAAATATTCATTTTGTGGGTGTAGCACGGGTCTCATTCATATTTTTTGAATTTAATTAATCCCAAAATATGGTACAATAAAACAATATACGAAGTATTACTTTATCATATATGAATATTTATTATTGCAGCGGGGATACTGATTCAGTGGTCCCTTTAACTGCAACCCGGTATTCAATTGATGCTTTGAATCTTTCAACTATCACCAACTGGCATCCTTGGTATGACAATCAAAAGGTCAGTCAATCTGAGAAAAGTATAGCATCTATTTTCATTCTGTGTTGCCAGAAACTGTCATTGTTCTGGAAAAAAAAGAGATTTTTTGTAGACTTGAATATGATTTTAACCCCTCAAAATATACTCCGTAGTACTCCGTAAATTGGTATTAGGCACCAATAATATTTGTTTTTTTGTTTATCCCTTTATTTATTTAGTTGGCACCTATTCTCTAGCAATGTAACATGCCTAATATGAACATAGCTGGTGAACAAGAGGTTAATTAGGTTATGTGTCATAGAAGTTAGGACCCCATTTTAACACAGCCTTTTTCCTGATTTATAATGTGAAACCTCACCAGATTGGAGGGTGGAGTCAAGTGTATGATGGGCTAACACTTGTGACGGTCACTGGAGCGGGGCATGAGGTGCCGCTACATCGTCCTCGAGAAGCATTTGTTCTTTTGAGATCATATCTGGAGAACAAGCCGATGCCGTCCCTGTCCAAGCTCTTATCTTCTTCAAGCTAGGGTAGATAGCCAGCCATACATTACAAGAAGCTGCCTTGTTTGTTATTCCTGTAAGAAACATAATAAGAGAAGAATCATCTTGCTTTCACTCTCATATGCCATTTTCAACTTGTACAATTAGATTATTGCTACGTTTGGTAGAATAAGTGAGCATACGAAGTTTTTGTACTCATCTGTCACTTCTTACCACTTTGTTTAGATTTATCAAGTTAAACAATCTATTCTTTCAAAAATCACCGCGAAAAAAGAACTCTCATTTCGTCTGATCTCGAATTATAATGGTTGAATCACTTGAATGAATGTTTCCAATTACAAGGTTTGACTGAACTTCTTATCATCATTTTGTAGTAAAGTTTGATCTAATGCTAATAATTATACTTTACATGTTTAGAACTACTCCGTATAAAAAGTTCTAAGCTGCCAAACCAAATTTGAATATGACAAAGCTTGATATAAAAAATAAAGAGAAAAAAGAAACTAGTAATCCAACCTTTTAGCAATCTTCTTATAATAGTCCCACCTTTTCGTGATTCAAGAATAATTCAACATTTGCACTCCATCTTCATTCGTTGGTCCCTGACCGATTGATGACCTGCTATTCAAAGTTATTTTCTTATCTTTGCAAAATATTATCTTTGTGAAAGGTGAGATTTATGGTATAATGGTTTGCAAAGACTAGAAAATAACTTGGAATAGCAAGTCATCAACCGGTCAGGGACCAGTGAATGAAGATAAGGTGCAAATGTTGGATTATCCATGAATAACGAAAAAGTGAGACTATTGTAAGAAGACCGCTAAAAGAATGGATTATTAGTTTCCATTTTCCCAAAATAAAAGATATTTATCTTGACCATACGAATAGTTATACTTGTTGACAAACTTTGTGCCCAAATATATAGCCTGTTTGGTAACACTGAAATTAGCTAAATCGGCAGAAATTTATGAATTTTTGGTTGAAGTGGCTAGATTGACTGATTCTGTTGAATTATGAATAAATCATATCTAAAAATTATTCCGTATGTTATTAATGAAATAAAGAAAAAATTATATGAAACAAACAGCTAAAATGTTCATCTACAGTAACCCAATCCAGCCAGAAAAGTAATTCCCACCTTACATATTTTGATTATTACACAACTAAGCACATGAAATCAAAAGTTACATATTTAGTGAAAAAGTTGGCTGATAAGCCGAAAAACAAGATCACCAAACAGACTCATAATTTTTGCCACTTATTTAAGATCACATAGCTCCATAGCCCCCATTCTCACTCTATCACCACCAACTTTTGATATCCTAACTAATGAAAAATGAGCCTTATTTTTTTCAGGATGATATCTTTATATGACCAATGTGCTATTCTTCTTCTCTTTAGGTAGCCTGTGAATAATACAGACGGAGGGTTTGTGTGACACATACTTCTATTTTCCCAATTTTTTGCAACTCCATTCTAAGGCTGATTGCAATGGAGGGGGTGAAAACCCCAAATGTGAGGTTTTCACCCCAAAAGAGCTGCAACGCAGAGGTCTTTTAGTATATGGGGGTCTCATAGCCAATACAGAGAACTAACGGGAGGGGTTTTTGAGCGGATGATTGACTCTCTTGCAGAGCATAGATACACAGGTGGGCTGACTTTTGCAGGAGAAAAGCATGGTCCTAGTTGGTGCGTGGGACTGACGTGCTCCATTCACTGTGGAGAGAATAGGATGCACGGATGATGTTCACAACTAAGCAAAATTAAATTGCCAATATTTTAAAATCCCACTTTAAAAAAAAAATAGTATAACTTTTTTATTTATGATTCAATATTTTCAAATAATATGTCAAAATTCATAACTTTTCATGATCTTTCATATGACACCAATATCATATATATAAAGTTAAAAAAATATATGAAGTTTCATCTGGTTGAAATCTATAGGTTGAATTTTTTACTTAAGTAGATCCAAATGTTAAAATCAAGATCTCATTAATAATATTTTTTACATCTTTTGGTTATGTTTTACAAAGTAGGTTTGAAACTACAAAAAAAAATGATCCTCCAAAATTATTTATTTTTACATCATAATGTTTGACTTTTTAAATTATAATTATTCATAAAAATAAATATTGATAATTTTTTATATAATAATAAAAAAAGATTTAATTAGAAAAGAAATACGCTAAGTAAATATATTGACGGTGATGGATTGCAGGGAAAAACTTGATTGATTGGATGAATACGTATAAACGGGAGGGAGATTAGATTTATTGACGGGCTTGGATTGCGGTTAGCCTAACGAGTGAATAGAGAAATGCAGAGATTAGGATTAGCTAGCCTCTAGTGTTCAATACACTGAATGAGGCAAGGAACCAATTTTAGGCGACTTGAGTCAAAATCCTATGATGAAATTGATTCCCATCAATACGAACGGGACATATATAAGGAGTATGTTACATCTTGCATCTCCAGAACACCTTTTCAGAAACACGAACAAGTCCTACACGAACAATGACAGTAAATATTGTTATGTTAACGACTAGTACAACAACTATTGCAGTGCAAGATGAAATTAAATACTGTCATGTTACTCCTATTTCAGGAATGAAAACGTAATAATATTATTTTGAAATTCCAATACCTTTTTACTCCTATTTCGGGAACTTTCCCTAACAATTAATATATTAAACCATCCCAGTGCGAGCCACAATTAGGAGCGTGAAATAAGGAATGAAAATAGAAAAATATCAAGCCTCTTAATTTAACTTTCTTAATTTAACTTGAAAGATTGTTAACTTTTTTTAATATAGAGCACTAGCATGCTCTATATTAACAATTTTATCTTTTTTGTATATTCCCGCCCACAAAGCGCCACTTTCAATTATCAATGGGGGTGGGGGGTGGTCCATTCAAATTAATTCAGGAGAAATGCAAGAATTAGGACTGACAATGATTGGAGATACCAAGGTGCCCACACTCCTCAGGCAGGGTATCTACCTCATTTTAATCAACCATCAATGTAAAGTTAGTGGAGCCTGAAACATCCACAAAATCGTTTGGTTTTTTTACAAAATTTTTCATTCAAAATGACACAAATATTAAAATAATAATTAAACAAGGTAATTCGAGTATATCTTTAAAAGTCGTCGTCGTTATCATCACCATTATCCCATTGCCTCAAAGGCTCCAACCTTGGGTGGGGTAAGGGGGATCGGATGTACGAGATCTTACCCCTGTACTAAAGCACAAAAAGACTGTTTCCGGATGATCCATAAGTCATAACAAAGAAGCATTGACAATTTAATGAGTCGTTATGGTTCATTCCATCCGTTTTTTTTTGAAAGAAAACGCCAATCTTATAAAATTAAATCGTTTGCCAAATGGCTAACAATAAACACTGGTGGCGAATCATAAATAGTATCACAACCGGTCGTTGAAAGAGCAAAACGAGCAAAGGTATGAGCTACTCTATATGCCTCTCTTCTACACCACTTGACTTGGATGTCCCCATTTTCTCCCAAGAATGCTTTTATATCGTCAAAAATAACCCCGATTTGGGCCGCACACGATTCTCCTTGAATTCCCGCTATTGTCAAGGCTGCATCTGTCTCAATCACTATTTTTCTCCATCTATTCTCACGAGCCCAAAGGATAGCTTCCCTCACACCCCACGCCTTTGCCTCTGCCGGGCTCCGATTAACTTTGACAACCCGAGTGCATGCTTTTAAGATTCTCCCTCGCTGTTATGACTAATCCAGCCCCACGACCACACAAGTCCTCGGATTATGTGCTGCATCAACGTTGACCTTAACTTGGTCTTCCTCCGGGCTTTGCCACTTTTGTTCACTCTGCCTCGTACTAGATCTCACCAACCTGCTATCACCTTCATGGACTGCTCTCCAACTCTTCAAAAGAGTATCTGCTGCACGTTGCACTCTCGTGACTGAGAATGACTCACCTCTCCATACAATTCCATTCCTAGACTTCCAAATGCTCCATAAGAGCATTATAACTTTAGAAATCCCTTCCTCATCTAGCCTGCTAAAGACGTGCTGCAGCCACTCCTCAACTGGGCTCACCTACAATAAAGAAATATACCCTGCTGCCTTCCAGGGTAAAAATAGATGAGTTGTGGACTCTTCCTCCCTACTGCAAATAGGGCAGCTCCTCGTAATCGGAATATGCCTTCTTTTCAGAAACTCGACCGTTGATAGGATACCACTAGCCAGCTGCCAAATAAAAACTTTGACTTTAGGTGGAACTCTAAACCTCCAAACCGCCGTCCATCCCACCCAGCCTTGGGGCTGAACATTGCCAACTAACTTTCTATAACAACTACGAACACTATATTGCCCTTTTGCATCCTCACTCCATCTATACCCATCCTCCAACGGATTAAGACTCAACGGGATGCTACGAATTAACAACGCTTCTTCCTCGTTAAAAATTGAGTTACTACGCCGAATATTCCGGCTTTTTCCATCTTCATTTAACAAGGCTTCTTCCAAACTGAAATGGACTGTCCAGTACCCACCCTTCTGGTGCAGCCCGCTACCACCACATTTTGAGCTGCTAATATGCTTCGCCAAACAAAAGAAGGGTTACACCCTAGTTTTGCCTCCCTAGTCCTAGTTGGGAAATATTTGGCTCCATCATATCTCTTAGTAAAAAAAATGAGTTTTTGACTCCATTGAGATGGTTTAATTATTTAATATATTAATAATTAGTCAAAATTCCCGAAATAGAAGTAAAGAGGTATTAGAATTTCAAAATAGTATTGTTATGTTTTTTTCCCGAAATAAGAGTAAAGAGGTATCAAAATTTCAAAATGGTATTGTTACATTTTTCTTTCCGAAACAGGAGTATATTTTTAAAAATAACTTTGATAAATATGTAACATAATAAGATCATTTAATAGTGTAATTATTTCCTTAAATGAAAATGAAAAGATTTAACACATTTGTGGTCAATTTCAATTCATTTGAAACGTAATGTGAGAAGCCTAAACTGAGACGTGGGAGTACCTTTCAGTGGTCAGTTTCAATTCATTTGAAACTTGCTTGGCCCATTTTTCTATCAAATACGAAGTACCATTAGCATCAAACAGTGTTGAACATATTCAATCTTGACCGACATTCCAGTTTTACCAAACAGATAATAAAACAATCACAGCTGCCTTTCAGCACACAACTACAGTTTCTAACTATCCATTTACATGATTATTACTGCACTATTTACACGATTGATCATACGAAACTAATGACCACTAAACTTCATCCATAAGAGCAGCAGATTTACAAATCGGGCAGACTTTTTTCATTGACAACCACTTGCTGATGCAGCTCACATGGTAATCATGTCCACACTTCATCATCGTCCCTACTTCCTCCCTGTCCTGGTAAACTTCCTGCATTGCAGACGAGCAACCAAAGGAATAAAACCCACAAATCATGTCATTTTTTGCCTTGTATAAAAGAAAAATACTAGATGTACACGATTAGTACACAAAGTGTCCACAAAACCCCTAGTTGCCTGTGTACACATGCTATTCGTTGGGAAAAGGGCAGAATTTTATGCCAAAATGCATGTGTACACAGGCAATGCACAATTTGTGTACACATTTTATGTACACCAAAAATGGCCCCGTATAAAACCACTCATAATTTGGCCTAACTGAACCCAAAAGGACCCTCAACCGCTAATGTTTACCTCACATTTATATATTAAGCTCAAACCTGGTAAACATCCAATGCATTTGTTTGTTTGTTCTTTTTGGGGTTACACCTCCGTGGTGGGTTTCACACTAAAGCTAAATGCTTAGAAGGGTAGTGCTCTTTGGCAGGGAAGAAGAAAATTTCAAGGAATGTAATGGAAGGAGTATACAAATGAAAGTATTGGTGCAAAATGACTATATTGCCCCTTATAGAAATCTGGAAGCATTAATTAGTACTCGAAATCAAGACGGGAGTAAAAGTTGGAACAATAATATTCGTAATCTGATAGAATGAAACATGTGAAGTGATCGTTAAAACAAGATGAAAGAAGTAGAAGTATGAAAATTCTTACGAGGCAAATAGCACAACTTTTGTCCTCGCCATGAGATGGAACAAAGACTTCTGCGGTGATGCACTTGGTGACCACATCTTCGGACAAACCAGTATTGACATCGCCAATTCTTTCTCCTAGAGCAAGCAGTTCCTGTAAAGGAAGTAATATGTTGTTATAGATAAGGGGTAAAATGCATTTTTGATATCCTAATTACAGGGGATTGGCAGATCTAGTTCGATATCCTTTTTGGCAGTTAAGGCTCATTACTTTTATATATCGAGAATTTTGTCCGGAAGCCACATTAAGTTTTTTTTTTAAACTGAAGCCACACAAAGTTGAAAATGCCAAAAATGCTATTATTAAGAATAAAAATTAGACAACTGGCGTTAAAAAATACATTTTTGGCCTTTTTAAATTTAATAAAAGTGCGATGTCATTACCATTTTGCAACCTCCCACCTCAGCTGTATTTCATGGCAGATTTTTCTTACTTCAGAACTAAATGCACAACCGTGTGAAAGTAATCGATCTAAATTGCTAAAATAGTTCCAATGGGACTAGTTATGCCAACCCCTATAATTATGAGACCAAAATACACTTTACCAAGAGCGCGAATGGGGATATGTTCATATAAAAAAGATAAGGTTGTTGCTAATAACCTCATAGCTCATGTTATCGACATCTAGTCTCATGCCTATGTATTCATCAAGCAAATTTCTGGAACCATCAGAAAAGGATTGGTGCTCAAACCTGAGCGGCTGCTATTACAGAAAAATGAAGACAATTATTATTGATGACTCTAGTAAGCCAGTAACAGTTTCATACACTTCAGATTTCTGTGAAGTCATACACTTCCTGCCTCCAGATTTTTGTGAAGTCATATACTTCTTTTATGACTTCTATACAGTCTCATGCTTCTTTTGTTGCAAAGGAAACATATCACGCAAGTGAAAAGTGAAATAAAAACAAAACGAGAAAAAAAATTCCAAAAGATGATACACCAGTTAAAATACGAAGACTGCTAATGTACGCAAACATGCAAATTCTGAGTGCCCAAAGGCAGCTTCATGAAGGCAAGGACAAGCTAGCTCTAGCAAAAGAAATGACAGTTTGCACCTACCAATATGAGTAAAGTGAATCGAAGCCTAAATTTTGTGATTAAAAAAGACTTATTTTTATTACTTTATGCTTGACACATGGTTAAATATATACCCCTAACCGCAACCCCAAAATAAAGACATATTACTTCATCAAAATATGAAACGTACATGGCAGATAATCCAATGGTCCTCCGTCCCAAGAAGAGTCAACTTTGAAAATTATTTTTTCCTCCCTAAAAAGATCCGTAATTGAACAAAAAAGAAATGATTCATTTACTTAATGTATTTATATTAAAATTGTCATATAGTAGTATGTTAAATTTTGTTAAACCAACAAAACCAAACAAAATAGTTAGAGCTGAAGATTTGCAATAGTTAGAACCTTGCTAATTTAAAAAGTTTAACTTTACCTAAATATGCATCCTTACGAAGGGCGTGGTGGTAATTCCTTGTAATTCAAAATATTGCCACTTGTGAAGTATCTAAAATTTATGAAACTATTTTTAATTTAGAAGTCTGTTCTATACAAGAGTTAGAAGTATCTCAAACTATCTAAATTTAGCAAAAGTACCTCAGATCTCATTATGTCACGAGAATCACGAGCACTAGGAAGTGCATTAGTAACCCCAAAATTTCCATGCTGAGAATGGTTGCTCCATCCTGGCCATCCTTCAGCACTACTAGGCGTCGTATTTCCGAATGAAAACGTTTCAGTGGAGGAGTGCCCACCATTTTCAGTGGACGTCGCTGCAGCATAGCCTAGCTGCATGTGGCCCATGTCATTACTGTTTGGGGGTAATACTCTTCCAGTATAGTTAGTGCGGCTTTCCCTTGGATCCACAGCAAACCCACCAACACGATGTGAAGATGAGTTAAAATTTCCAGTTGAAAAGCAGCTACGATTATGGGGGGCACTTAAATCGGCAGCACGTCCTCCAAAATAAAAAGAATTTGTTTCATGATTTGAGCCACTAGATTCTGGGGAATTTTGAACAAGTTATGAGTACTTTTTGTTGAGTAACCCACATCGGTTGTCTACTGGTCAGAATCCTAGTATATAAATAAGTATAAGGTAAAGCACTAACGCCCACCTCTTGAGGATCGTTTTAGGGTGAGTTATGCCCGTTATGACACGGTATGAAAGTCTAGTCCAATGGTGGTTTGTTGTGAGGCCGTGAGGAGGCCACTATATGGTTTGAGGCAACACCTTAAGGGGTTGTCTGGGCCCATTTTCCCACCCTTTAGTTACTCAGCATGACTTAGGCTGACGGGTGTGCTGAGAATCCCACACCACTTGTCTACCGGGCTTGGGTCTAATATGCAAGTGACATAGACCTTAAAAATCATTTTGGGGTGGGTTAGACCCATAAACTTTGGTTCGTGAGAAGAGGGGAGGTGCCATTTGACACAGAACTATCTAACCTGAATGCAAGTTCCTTCCTGAGCTTGAACCAGTAGTATTTCTGATGCCCGAGTAATTTGATGGATGGGTTGCAAATTGATGTTCAACTGAAGTGTAGTTTGGTATACGATGAGTTATATCAGGAGCACGTCTTGAGTCATAAGTATATCGCCTTCTTAGATCTCTCCACGACTCATCACCATTAATAGAGATGCCACTGCTTCTACAACGAGGAAAGCCTGAGAGATGTGAAGGGATATTTTCATTCTCTGGAATTGGTCCCAACATCCCACCAAGAGATCCGGAAGAGCTTCCGACATCATAAGATATGCTGGATCTCTTTCTTTTAAACAGCCCTCTTTGGTTGCTTTGGAGATGATCAGCAAGACCACCATGATATCCATTACTCCCCGGGCCATGTACAGTTCCAACAGTTGATGATTGTGCAAAAGGCGCATAAGGAGGGCCTGAAATTTGTGGTGGGGGAAACTGAGCTGCTCCCACGCTAGAGTTTGAATAATGATACTGATGGTTTCCTCTGCTTCTGGAATTCAACTGTTGGTCTGCACAAATAGGCTGGACGTCTCCAGACGGGACAAAAGAGCCACCTGAATCAGCAAATCTTCCTGAAAATGGATATATTGAAACCGATCAAAGTGGACACAATATAATGTTTGGGGAGTGGAAGGCATTTCCTTGTACACAACGATAATTTTCAGTAAAATCTGTTGTTTTTGCAAATTAATAGTTAAAAACTTAATGCGGCACACAAATCTTGAAAAACTCACAATTTAAATTTAAAAAATGGCATGTCAGCATGGGATATCCTTCATGAAAGAACCATCACATAAAACTGTATCCTAAATGTAAACATAATGTCAATTTTTGGGAGATCAGCGGTTCACAAATCTTGAAAAACACAAAATTTAAATGTCAACAATGGCATGTCAGCATGGCATTTCCTTCATGTGACTATATCCTAAATGTAAACATAATTTCAAATTCTGTGAGATCTGTAAGTCATGTTAAATGACACCGGTTCTAGAAAAGCATAACCACGAACTGCAAACGAACTTATGTACTCACTCAAGAATGATAACATAATCCCAAATCAGTACCTGTGGCAGTGAAAGGTTGCCCTGAAATATAACTTTGATGCTGATTCTGGGCATTTCCAAATGTACTGAATGAATTTGAAACTTGTCTATGCCCCATTCCTTCGTCTAAGAAACCACTTAACAATCCTGGGTTGAAAAAGAGGAAAATATAATTAAGAAACATTGGGACATAAGACACTAGAACTGTCCAATTAGCTTGGTAGCAACAAACTGACAACAGAAGAGAAAAAATAAATATAATTCACAACAAATACGGAGTATATGATAGTAGACATGACCTTCAGCATTATACACAACAAATCTATCTCCTCAAGAAATATTTTCGTAATTTATACAAATTTAAAAGAATTCCCAAATTTAATCAAGATTCCAGCTGGAAAAAAGAATCTGTATCAAATATGAAATAATGGCTTGTGCTTCCAGTTTCTAAAGATTTTTCCATTTCTGTTATTTACATATGCTGTTAATCCGTGCCTCAATATGCACACTAGTCAGCACATACTCAAGTGTTTGGCTAACATATCAAAGTAAATGCACTGGTGGGGCATATTCCTAAGGATCTTCAGTACAAAAAAGTTTCCAACTGTCTGAGATACTAGCTAAGACCACAGCGATCAACCCGCTACTCTATTTTCACCAATTAGGAAAAAACCACTCAGATAGAATTTACACTAAATAGGCTTAGCACCTAAAAACTATTAAGTTTTGAAGTTTCATCCTAAAAGGTCAATCTAATAGAAGGAATGATTCAAAGCTTTATATATTAGTTGGTAGTTTTATATGCAACTGGGATAGATTAATATTTAATACGCCATACAAGCTGGTGGCTCATAGGAATTTACCAATCTTGTTGAAGCTTACAAGAATCGAATTGTTCTTTCAAGCTTAATTGGCTCTGATACTATATTAAGACTTAAGAGTTCTATTCTAATAGATCACCCTAATAGGAAGAGTAGCCCAGTAACTTATATAATGATTTATTATTTTATATCAATCTGGTGCGAGACAACCCAAATTGGGCTGTACAACATCGAATAAATAGGCAAAACAGACTCTTAAAGAACTACCCTTAATCATAAGTGTTAAACAACAATCAAACCACAACATACAAGAAACTATTCGCAGTAGTAGTCAAAGGCTTAATAAGTTAGTTTGTATTTTTATAAGAAACTCGTGTGGGATAGCTTAATAGAAACGACCAATAACATACAAGAAACAAAAGTTCAATAGTTATTTCCTCTGATAGAAAGAGCCTTGGAACAAACTAATATATTGACAAATGAATAAACGTTTGATGATTTTTCCTACAATTGAGACGAGTGGTAGTTTCTAGAGAACCAACAAAAGAATTGGTTAGAGAATAAATACCAAAAATCTTTTAGTGAACAACAGACCTGATTAGGCCAAACTCATTTTTATCTACAACTAATATTTTCTAGAAGGGTAAGAACAGGAATTAGTTCCAATTCAAATGGAACTAAAAAAAGTTCTTTGAGTGTCTACAAACACATAAAACAAGAAAAAAGTGAAATGGTTTGCGTGGAAGAGATATATGTGCTACTTGTATAGTAGAAACCTCTATTTGATTTAGCATTCAGACGAAGGGGTTGATAAAAACTTCAATCTGATTTTCCAAAAAGGATGAAAAATAATGTAACAGAAAGAGAAGGAAAATGATAAGGCTAGCTGACCCAATACTCATTACTTAAATGGACATAATAAGAGACAAGAAAATATGGACTGTAATAAATTGCCAAGGTTGCTAAACTTTACTAACCTAACACTTACAAATCAAAGAACCAAGGAGATGACAATTAACAACATGTCCAAAGGTAAACGAACATTGCCTCACTTGAAATTGCCTTACTTCCTTGCAATTGAAATACACTCCACACCAGAAACCGGCCAAAGTCAAATGTATAACCAAATACATATGGGCTAGAGTCTTGAAAAGAAACCGTCGTGTACCCTACTAAGCAGAGAGAGGAACATGAGATGATACTACTGACTTGAACCAAATTTGAAGTACCTAATAACATCAGAGGGTAAAAGATACTAATGATAGCTTAAGACACTATAGTATTGAAATTTGAAAATTCTGCCTAAGCTGATATTTGATCTAATCTAAACCATAAGCTTTTTGCAAAAAAATCATCACAATTACCTTTTTCTTTAAGCTCCCCTGGAGATCACTAAAGCACAAAAGGAACCTGAACTTCTTTTATGGAAAAAGACACAGTACTCCTACCCCTGATCAACTGTTGATCTAACTACTTTTATTTGGCTGAAGCTGCAGAGAAAGGTTACCCGCTTTTGAAGTAGTTTTTTTGGAGGGGAGCCTCCAACAGGTATTTTCTAATTAGCTCACAGTCTGAGCAAAATCTTGAAATTAGCTAGATCTTGCTGGAATCCTGGACATTTAGGATAGAAGATGATGTATTGCAATAAGGAAATTAGGCAATAAATTCAGGCTAAATTTACTTTCATTATGTTAGTGTGCAATACTGCAATGTGTAACATCTCAAAATCATTACACTTTTACAGTACGCGGGATAAAGAGCATTCATAAGAACCCCCCACCTCGGTTTGTCTAAGGATTTGTAGCTCAGTACGTAAACAACTAATACCACACTGAGCAGCTTGAATTACTTGGAACTGCAATTTTAAGAGTTTACATTGTGTGCATCTTCTCTCTCCAATTCCCAAAAAACAATGAATCAAAGAACTGGTGTGAAGATTTAAACATTAGGCAGGAAGCTTCTTAGACCAGACAAACTAGTTCAATACATATTTCTTGAATAACATTGTGAGACACTAACAAATGCTTCAGCAGCCCAGATATCAAGCCAAAAAGGTAGAATTATTTTTTGAACCAACATAGATTAATATATTGGACATGAATGCATTCTATAACTGTGAGACCTTCAGTGAAAATATGCACGAGCATCACTACATTAGAATTTGGGCTATAAAGTAAATCAAAATCCTGAATAAGTACAACTTAGCAACAACATAAGCTCAACTAGTCAAATTTGATAACAAAAGCATGTTCAGTATTTTTTGGTCAACACAACTGTAATATGTTATGAGTAAAATGATAGGCATAGCCGCAGAATCGCATCAAGATCTTGCATAAAAGGGCCACCTTTGTCATTCTTCCACAAAGTCAATGGTTAAAGTGATTAAGCATTTTATCTACAGTCCTGGGGGGCCAATTTCAGGTGCAACCTGAAGACCTTAGGAATAGTTGTTATACAATGAGAGGAGACTGACGCTGCTTCTGATATCAAACTCGAGTATGACCCAAATATATTAAGAAGAATTTTAATCTAGGTCCAGCTTGAAATTCTCTCCGCCATGTCTTAATTAGCCCAGTCCCACGGCATGATGGTAACATAAACATGCAAAATGTCCAACTCATTGAGTGAGTGTAAAAACGATGATCAACTTTCTGATGTCAATCGCATTGCCGAGTATAAGTAAATCCAGACTTCTTTTCCCACCATTGGGTACATCAGTTATACAATCCAGGACATACATGAAAGGCAGAAGAATAACTTAGGACACTAATTTTGACATAGTACACTGAGAAAAGGCATTTCATGCTCAAGCATCAACAAGATTGAGATGTGTCTTGTTGGATCTTATCATAAAGTCATTCCTGCTCAAACCCTTAGGCATCCACAACTACCATAATAAACAGGAAGACAAAGCAATTCTGGAATTTATCACCGCATTTCCCCTATGCATTCGTTAAAATCAGGGGTTCCCTGAAAGAATGCTAAATGTGCTACAATGAGAGAGAATAGCATAGTTATTCATTGGTGGGGTCAACCATCAAGCAAAAGAATGGCCGCTCAGTCGCTCACTGATTCTTATCTCTTTATTGAGCTCTAATGAAACAACAGATGGCAAAAATAATACTTCCTGAAATGCCACCATGTAGGATCTATTTCTAGTTCCATATTATAAAACTGATGTTTTTGGTCAAAGATCTATCATGGAACAATCTTCTCATGCAACAGTCTCCATATTGTTCATGCATTTAAATTTTTCCTACATGCACCCGGTGAAAAGAACAGCTATATCTCTAAAGTTCCTTAGATTTCATCTTTGTAACTGGTTACCAATGGACCACAACAAACGTTACTTTAGCACAAAACTGTAGCAGTTCATAATACATCTCATTGGAATATAGCCCAAAATGACAATCCTTGCTCTGTTGCTCAAGGTAAAGGAAAAGGTGCCTGCAATGCAATATCATTTATAAATTTAAATTAACTGTAGCAGTAAAGACTGTAACTACCCGCTGGGGTTGTTATGGGTATCTGGCTTGCTACAAGGAGAAGAAAACAAAGAAATCACGATATTACCAATTCAAATACTTCCCTAAAACTTTCATTCAAAACCCAACCTGAAGAACAGTAAAGAGAATAAGGCATTAAGGACAAAGTCAAAGATCTGAAATCTAAACCAACTCAGAGTACAAAAGACTATGGGTGGTCACTACATGTAAATGAGTCCCCAGATGTTCATAGAAGCATCATGTGCTTCAAAACTTGAAAAAATTGGTGCACACGAAAGAGTGGAAAACTTAATTGAGAAAGCATAAGAAAGAAAAATAAAGAATCCTATTCCAATAGAAACTCATAAGCTGGGATGGATTTGGGGGGGCTACCCCTCGGAACTTAAGAAAAAGTTATAGTTATAAACTTATAATACATGCAATACTTTTTATAATTTTTTATATTTTTACTACATACACATATCTTCTCCCCTTGATTTATATTTTTTGAAATCATTTTAAACCTTTAAATAAGACTTAATATGAGTTGTAACCGTTTATGAAGAAAATAAACCAAAATACTTTGTACTTCAGTTTTGTCATTAAAAGTTACTAGTTTCTTGCTTTGTGCAAAAAACAATAATAGAAAAAATCATTGGTTTGAAATGTATGATATCAAATCTATAATAATAGAATGCGATTTTTTTTATTTTTACTTTTATAAGAAAAAAATACACAAATTTGTAAAATACCATGCAATATTCAAAAAAATCGTAGAAAAAGAATTATATACTTCATAGTTTTCTTATAAAGTTCAAATGAGCTTGTATGTAAAAGTGTATGACATTTAAAAAGCGGCATACTAATTTAATCTCCAACTTGTTTAAGAAAACCTATTTGATATGTCGTACTTCTTAAACTTCCAAAGATTATACCATTAACACACATAACATGTACACATATTACCCACATTTACAATATTTATATAAACAAAACATAATATTAAATTTAAAATGAAAAATCTCATACATACTATTGTAAATTTAAAAACACATTTCTTGGACTACAACCATTCAAGTTATACAAAAAAATAGCTTTAGAATTTGATTAATCATTCTTACAAGGTTTATGTTGTTAAATAACAAAAGTTATTATAAAAATAGCATATGGGGATGCTCACCGAGTACAAACTTCATCGTCAAAATTAATTAATAACTTTTCATCCATTTTCAAATAATCAAGTACTTTTTCTTTGATTTAGTATAACGTAGTCATTTGATATACGAAGGGAGACTTTTAGAACTATTTTATTATAAAAACTAACTTACTTTTTTTACATCACGTAATGTTACTGAAAATAGTGGCGCTTTTAAGTATCTAACTATATGCTACTGAAAATATTTTTTATCAGTTTTTAAATAAAAGGTATATAAAATCCCATGGTAATAAAAAAACATTATGCCCTTGAGCAAGCAGCATTCCAAGCCACTGATGTTTGTACGTTTTATGGGGAAAAGAAGGAAGGAAGGAAGAGTCCCTCTTGACCAATCAGCATTCTAAGCTACTGATGTTTGTACGTTTTATGGGGAATAGAAAGGAGGAAGGAAAAAAGGAATTGATGAAGGAAGGCAAAACGAAGAAAAGAAGGAAGAAACTAAGAAAGAAAGAACAAAAGAAAGCTCAAATATGGATGAAAATGTTTACAACCTCAATAGGTACAAGCTACCCTATAAAACATATCAGTATGAATGATTTAACAACATAACTTTAAAGTCAATTTTAAGGCTATATATACATTATGTAAAGGAAGCGATTCAAACAAAAATCATGCATCCCGTGCGAACTGCATACGGTTGCACTTTGACCTCAATTTGCTGCACTATAATGTTTTTCAGTTGCACTTTTAAGATGTGGTCCAATCATGCCAACAATGCACTAGAGCAAATAAATATGCAGTGATAGTTTGGTAAATAAATCAAATTCTTCTTTCATCGCGAAAAGTGTAACATATGAACTCCATAGTGCGTTAAAGTTAGATGAAAGTGCAACCATTCACAGTTCTCTCCCAAAGCATGGTTTTTATTTGATTTCAAAAAAGATGATGTATATACATTGAGATACATGTTCAACCATAAGTAAAATTTAAAAAATCAGTAACACTACAGATTTATTACTATATACTCTCAAGATCCCAACGAGAACAATTTTATGATGGGTAACACGTAAAATTAAAAAAGATTTTTAATATACACTCTCAAGATGTCCCAACGTGAACACTTTTATGATGTGTAACACAGTAAGATTAAAAAAGATGACATATGAATTTTTTAATCAATTTGTTGTTGTGTATCATGCAGAACATTGTTCACCAAGCTCACTTCTGAGGCTTCAAGAGTTGCCTTAAGCAAATTGGAACTTTTGGAATGTTTGATCAATTTTGGGAGACCAGAAAAACAAAAATAGAGAGGCAGGGAAAAAAGTATGGGCACTGGAAGCAGAGTTGTGAAGGCCACAGCATGGTGGGGTATTATGGTCACCAGTGCCGGATGACCATAATATTATGAGCTCAATCATCATCTTCATCATTACCCCCAGTGCCGCAAAGGCTCCCACACCTTCAGTAGGGTAGGGGGTCGATGTACGCAGTCTTACCCCTGTACTAAAGAACAAACAGATTGTTTCCGGATGACCCGTAGTGAAAATCGCGTCAAAAATTGCATGGACTGACTGCTGCTTCATAACAAAGTAGCACACAGTTTAGTAAGTCATTTTTCTTTATTCCATCATATTCCCAAGCCAAAAAAGAGTGAGTCTTTGACTCCATCATATTTAGCAAAGTGATATGAAAAAATAAGTGTGTGTGTGCACACACATATATTTGAAAACAACATTTATGAATACATCCTTATATTTTTACAAATACTACGTATTTGTTTCCACCATGTTTTGAATACTATATTTTTCAAAAGTACCATTTTTTATAATTATTGCACGATTTTGTGCTGTAAGAATACAACACCAGCAACAACAACATCCAAGCCTTATTCCCAAAAGATTTTGGTGTTGGCTAACAAGAACCAATCCATGATATAAGAGTCCAAAAGAGAAGAAAGATAAGAAAAATAAAAAGATATCGTAAGATTTTATGCTATAAAAATACAGAGTAATAATAGGAATGCATATTATTAGACTCTTTACAATGAGAGTGACTCGAGATACCAAAGAACATCCCTTTTAACTTCAGTATCAAATTTGTTTCCAATCTTGTTTTCATATGTCCGACCGCATATTGAGAATCATGCAAAAACTTGCACAGTTGACATGTCCCTATCCTAAACCCCTAGAATCATAAGGATAATGGATAGTTGATCTGAAAAATCAGTGCAGTAATGAGTTATTCTATCAGGCAAAAACTAGAACTTTATCAAAGCTATACAATGAGGTCTAGAAACCAAGGAATCAGATATGACCACTTCTACTCACAAGAAGACACAGAATTGGCACCAGCTAACCCATTTTAATCTTCAAGACCAGTTGAAAGAATAGTCGACAGAGCCTTCGCCACCCACAATTAGACTCAAAAATATCTTTGATCACAAGGAAGTCTTTGGTTTTCAGCATGCCCAATCCTGACCTACACTCCTACCACCCTAAATGTGATAGGGTTTATGATCTAGCGGAAAGAGCACTCTTCTGATTCCGGCAAGCCTCAATGCGCACAACTTCCTGTTAAAACCCACTTCATTGACTGATAGTTTATCTTCCGGACAGGTGAATTACCCATTTAACAAACCAAGGAAAGTGGTGATATGATCCCTGTAGGATCCCTGTTTAGCCAAGTTCCTATGAATGGAATGAATCCCAGTGAGTGAAGTAGTCTAGGGGGGTGGGATTGAAGGTAAACCTTGCACCGTATGCCAGGTCTTGCAAAGCTTATGTAACGAGGGGTAAGAATCCACATTCCATTGTGAAGAGAAAATGACCCAGGCAAAATATTTCCAGGGCTTTCTAAAATGAAAGCACCAAGCTTGATTGGATATGCAGCATCAGCAAGAGTTATCCACTCGACTGGAATCTCTTGAGAGAGTTCCCTGTTCACCGACATTGACCCCATGCGTCACAGCAAAGTTCTTATCCCTTCAGGTACCCAATCAGAATGATAGCAGAATTATCAGTGGCATCGGCCTTGGAAATTGGTAAAGGTGAAGGAGAGGCTAGCCATAATTGCTTGCATGGGGCAATTCCAAATAACACTGCTACTGTCTGGCTTTGATGGTTAGATGAGGTTCATCCCTTTCAAGGAGATACTCTTGCTACTGAGGGGAATCCCTTCCTACCCGATTCTTTCTTTGCTAGGAGATTCTCTTGCTACTGAACTAGAGACAACTCCCATCCATCCAGCGGTTATTTTATTTCCTTAATTAACTAATGAAATAGTTGGCGCCGAACAATTTTACATAATGCTAATATTTCAATAACACACCGATTTTTGGGGCGGAATGAAAGGTAAGGGACCCCTTGGAAGGGGGACGGCCCGCCAAATTCACATCACAGATAGCCTAAATAACATATCCCATGTTTGTTACCTAAAAGCTTTAGCAATTCTTTTATATACAGCATGGAGGCAGGAATGAATGTAAATCAATGAGCGATCTAGGTATGTCTTCCTTTTCTTTTCCAGGTATAGCACATATGCCATGGTATGGATAATGAGATAGTTTAGGACATGCTTTGGCCTTCTCTCTGTCCTCTGCTTGATGAACCTACCATCAGTCATATCTTCAAATTTTCATCTTGAATATCACAAATGCTTGCTTACAGAAGTCCACACTGCAGTAACCTAGCTATCTTTCAAGATATGTAGGATTAGTCATGAAATAAGCAGTGTGATACTGTGATATCCCCATTCATGGGTAGCCGCTATATCTGTAGTATGATTCCCCATTCACACCTGTGAATTGC